CTCTCTCTCTCTCTAAAAAATAAAATAAAATAAAAAAATAAAAGATACTATTGAAAGTGAAAAGAAACAGTAAACTAAGGGAAGATACTAGTAACCTACACAACTAAACAAAAGAATAGTGTATATTATACACAAAGAACTCTGATCCATTTTCCAAAGATAAATGACACCATAGAAAAATTAACAAAGGCATTTCACAGAGAAGGAAAAATAGAAATTGTATGTAAACACATGAAAAGATGATGTTCACCTTTGTTAGCACTCAGGGATTTGCAGGTCATGACTGGTGAAATAGCATTTTACACTCACTCACTTTGCAAAAATTTGGAAATTAGACAAGAGCAAAGATATCTTTTGTGTTGATCAATATTCCATGGTAGGCTACTTAAAAATATTGCCCAGAATACCAGTACTAAAAGGAGAGACTTGCTGCCACTTTAATTTAGAAGTATCAATGTTGTTCGTATGGATGATAAGAAATTGTGTATAAATTTTATTTAAAATAGGATTTTTCCCTCCCAGGATTTTTATAATCAGATTATCCCAGAATTGACCATTTTCTTGAAAAGATAGTTTTATATCCTTTACATCTCTTTTTCACATTAAAGTCTAAAGTTTTGGCTTCACCTYTTGTATTTACCGTGGTCAAATATGTATAGTATCCCTATTGGAAAGCTCTCAATAGATTCCTTATATACAATCCTTTTCTGAAAGGTTAAGAAATATATGTAGGAATGTCTAGAGGCCCACAGTTATGAAAATGTTACTTTTTATTGACAGTTGCACTTTGTAAAAATTGAGACAGGAACCAATCGGAAGGGAAATATCTTTGTTCTAATCATTACTATTACATTTCTGTAAAAGGATGAAATTATTTTGCAGCATAGAGACTATAATGTTTCTAATTTTGGTATGTGAATTATTTTTTTTACAGACAGTGGATTTAAGCCAGTTATAATTACTGCACCAGCAAGTGCCAGAGTGGTAGATGGAGACTTTGTGACTTTGTCCTGCAATGCCACTGGAGTGCCAGTTCCAGTCATTCGTTGGTATGGCGCCCACGGATTGATAACCAGCCATCCATCTCAAGTCCTTAGGTCTAAATCTCGAAAGTCACACTTATTAAGACCCGGAGCCCTTGACCCAGAGCCTGTCTACTTCATCATGTCCCGAGCTGGCTCAAGCTCGCTCTCTATTCAGGCTGTTACTCAGGAGCATGCTGGGAAATACATCTGCGAAGCTACAAATGATCATGGCACCACACAGTCAGAGGCATTTCTTATAGTTGGTGAGTTTCCATTAGTATTTTCCTCAGTTGCATAATCTCTTTTTATAGTAAGAGAAAAGGTGATTAGAAATATGTCATTTTAATAAATGCAGCCCCTGTAACAGTGAATGTAGAACTGTGTTTTGGGGTATTTTTCCATCTGTGAATTAGATGAATGTCCTTCTCTATTTCTAGTGTTTTTGTTAAGTGCCTGCTTGTCAAATAGTATGGTTTTAGTTGGGAGCAAGCTCAAACTATAACTTGACTTTGGGATTAATGTTTTTGGTTTTCTGAGCTACTGATAATGCTATTGCTGACTTTTTTTAGACAAATCCTTGATAAGTGTAGTATTCAAAGTCTATAGGTTTGCCTTCATTGAGAGTACAAACTTATGGTCCTATCAAATAATACCTGTATCTATGTATTTTCCCTATCTTACCCCAAATTACTTTTCTAATAGGATGAATCATAGTATTTATATGCTGCTGTTTTTTATGGTAATAACTTAATGTTACATGATTTTTGAAATATAGGCATGTAGAATGTCAATAGTAATGAAAATTAAGTCAAAGTTAATGAAATTCGAATTCAAACCTTATATCATTGGTTCTTTAACAACTGATTGATCAGTTTAAGAGATTGTTGCCATATTTGTCTCTGAGAGTCAGAATATTCAGTTCTGCCTTTAGTGATGGTCAACTGAGGTCCCTGCCCTAGTCCTCTACATTGAAGGGCTTCCTGTGGTACCTTTCTGTCTGGATCCTCAGAGCTCATGGAGTCAAAGTCAGTGCTTATCCTGATCCTAGAGTCCACATTCTTGTTTCTGGTAAGAGGTCTGGGGCTCCAGAATTTCTTACTTTAATGAATTCACAGTCTGGTTCCACACAGGTCTTTTTTGCCTGTCCTATCCTCCGTAGTATAGACCACACCATCAGTGTATGGGTGCCATTAAACCAGAGGTGGGGCCAGTGAGTGGTCTTTGGCAGAAGAGTGATGTTTGAAGTGTGCAGAGTTTGGATGTATGCACTCCAATTTATTTTCAGATGCAAATAAGGAGCTTCTAGCTCTGGATGAAGTTGGAAGTTGGGAGATAAGTGGGGAAGGCCAGTGACTTCTGTTTCTACCTTGGGCTACTCCAGAATGGTAGAGGTGGAAATGATGTGGAGTTGAGGCCTGTGGGCTGTTAGAGCCCTGGCTCTGATACACAGAGCTTTGTAATCCAGGGCCAGTTACTGAACTTTGTGCTTTTTGCCTCACCTGTGTAACAGGTGTTGTGAAGGTGTCCTGCTCACAATAGGATTAGTGTGAGATTTCAAGTAGCTAATACATGTAAGCTTCTTAAAATTATGTCTGGTAACAGAAAGCTTTTCATGAACATCAATTATTAGGTTATGATAACTATTAACTATTATTACAGGTTTCCATTTTGGTGATATTTAACGAAAAGAAGAATTAGTTGTGATTTTAGTAACCTTAAGAACTCTATCAAAAAAAAAAAGAACTCTTAGGAAGGTGCTTGGGTGTTGTATAAATTTATACATATATATGAATATGTGTATGCATATATGTRTTCATATTTATATATCTATTCCAGTTGGCAAAAGTAAGAGTGACTTCGCTTTTACTTTTAGCTTTGTGATAGGTATAATGCAGGAGCTGCTTGGGTAGAATTTAGCAGAACTGATTATTTTATGTAAATATATGAAATAAGGAGACATACATGTCATGGTTGATGGAACTAGATATTTTGTCCAACTTTCTCAAAAATCTGAAGCCCTTAGAAATTACACAAATTGTTTAGATTAGAAGATCTTTAAGATTCTCCCCTGCTCCAGGATTTTGTGCTTTCCTAAACTATATATATATATATATATAATTTATAAAATGGACAACTATAATTTAATAATAACTAGATAGTAACAGTCTTAACCTTATACTTTGTATTTATGTAAAGCTTCTACTGCCAGACATGATTCTGAACAGTTAATGGCTACCACTTTTATGTGTAATAATCCCATCAGTAGCATCCTACCTGTGTGTTCTTCTGTTATCTCTTTTACATGCTCTGTAATAATTATTGAGACCTAGCTGAGTTTATTGAACTTGAAGCAGTGAATTAGAACCCACTTTTTTAAAAAATAGGAATCTGAGCCTTATCAAATCTAGTGTACTGAGTCATTTACTTTTATTATGAAGGGAGAGTGAGATAGTCCAAGAAAAAGATGATGCTCTCCTTTCTCTTTTTTTTTTTTAATTTCCAGGGACCTTGGGTTTATGAGGTCTTCGATGTATATCTTCAAAACTAAAATGGGAGTTGCCCTGGGCTTCCTAAAGTAGTGTGGGGTGGGGGTTGCTGGTATGCATAGTGAYAGTGGGAATATCTTGGACAGATGTGGTTGTATTCCCTATTTAATTAGGAAATTCACTGACATTGATATAGTTTTTATTCATCTTTTTTTCTAATTCAAAAACCAATCCATCTTAAAAATTATTAAATGTCTCTTCTACTCATTTGTGGAGTTGTTTGAAGATAAATTTAGATAATACATGTGAGAGCATGTATTGCCTGAACTCTGAAAGTACAGGCAATCTCCAATTTGCAATGGTCTGAGGTTGCGCTAACATTGAGCTACACACCCCAGCCCTTTTTAAATTCTTTATATTTGAGACAAGGTCTTGCTAAGTTGTCTCAAACTTGAGATCCTCCTGCCTTAGCCTCCAAAGTCCCCGGTATTTCAGGGCATGTGCCACTGTGTCCAACTGATTTACAGATTTTTTTTTCATGATGTGAAAGTGATGTTCATTTAGTAAAAACTCATTTAGTAGAATTTTGCTCTTTTCCTGGGTTAATAATCAGAAGTATGATAATCTCGTGATGGTGGGCAGTGGCAGTGAGCTGCAGCTCACTATCAGCCATTCCATTACAATGGTGAACAACTGACACTTTATAGAGTACTATGTTGCTCAGTCATTGTATTCAGTGAGTTAAGAGTAATAAATGCATTTCCAGTTTAACTGTATTTTCCATTTCCATGAGGTTTTTGGGTTATAACCTGACCATCAACCTAGGAGCATCTATACTGTTAAAACCTTTAAAATCATATCTAATAACTTGTGAGTGCCCAAGTTATATAATTGGGAACAGCAGAGGTTAATTGGATCCCCTTTTAAATAAGTGTTGTGGAAAAGTTGCATTACACCCTGAATAACAGAAAAGAAATTTTGATATTCTTGCAGTAGACAGGCAGCAGCATATTTTTTAAATCCCTCTGTATAAATAAAATGTCATGTAGTGTGGGAACTGTCCTGTGGCCAGATACCACTTCCCAGTGGTCAGCTGCCCAGAGGATCCATGAAACTACTAATGATACAAAGATCCTTCCACATCACCCCAAGCCACAGCAAATTACCTCCAATTGGAGAGTCCATTTCTCTGCATTAACAGGCACCAGTTCAACCCTGAATGTCCACTGCATATCTGACTCACTAGGTAAACACAGCCATGCCAGGAGCAATATTTTCAAGTTGTCTTAGTGAATTTAAATAGTATTCTTCTACCTTATTTTCTCACTGACTTCTTGTTTTCTTGATGAAGGATGCTCTGGGATGTCATTTTTCTCTTTAAACTAACAGAGAACTGACCTTAAAGTTAATCTGGTTTTCTTTAGTTCTCTTCTAAGATGCAGTAGTTCTCCTAAAAACAACCCACCTCTTACCAGGAATCTGACTTCAAGTGTAGCTAAAACATGTGTTTTCCTCGGTTCCCTTCCTCCACCCAGGAGTGAATAACAGGAGACCTTTTTGTTGCCAGTATTAATAGCACTTGAGAGAAAGCAAGCTGTCAATCCTTTGGATTTATTATACTGGCAGATATTTGTATTCATAAACTGCTCTCCTTTTTTTTTTTAATGGCAACACCACTAACAATCTTCTGACAGCTGTTGTCACTTAGTCTCTCAGAACCTTAATTTCTTCATCTGTAAAGTATCAGGAAGTATTACTCTTTACCTAAGACTGTTGTAGAATTAAATATCTGGAATAGTGCTTGGCATATAACATGTGCTCAGTAATTTTTTGAACGTATGAGCCTATTTTTTCAGTACAAATAAATTATTTTTACTTTCTTCCATATAATCTGTATGCTGTTAGTGTACATGGTGGGAGGGGACTATGAAAAAGTGGGAATTCTGGGATATATCTTTGGAGACGAGCTGCCCAATAGGTAATGCTATTTAGTACCAACTATTAAGGCTGTTTGTTTTATCTATCTTCAGTTTGATAGTTTCTTTCTTTTTTTTTTAAGAGAGAATTTTTTAATATTTATTTTTTAATTTTTGGTGGACACAACATCTTTATTTTTTATGTGGTACTGAGGATCTAACCCAGCACTCCACACATGCCAGGCGAGCGCGCTACTGCTTGAGCCACATCCCCAGCCCCAAGTTTCTTTCTTTATTTTGGTGGGTGGGGTACTGGGTTTTGAACTCAGTGATGTTTCGCCACAGAGCTATATCCCCAGCCCTTTTCATTTTTAATTTTGAGACAAAAATCTAAATTCGTGAGGCTTTCCTTGAACTTGTGATCCTCCTGTCTCAGCCTCCCAGGTCAGTGGGATTACAGGAATGTGCCACCATGTGCAACTAACAAGTCTGCATTTTCTCTAAATGTATGTTTTGGTACTTTTGTCAAGGATCAGATGGCTGCATTTGTGTGGGTTGTCTGTATCTTCTATTCTTTTCCATTGGTCTATGTGTTTGTTTTTATGCCAGTACTATGTAATTTTTGTTACTATAGCTCTGTAGTATAATTTGATGTTATATATTGTGATAAATTTGTATATTGCTTTTGGTAATATGATTGTTTTAGCGATATTAATTTTGCCTATCCATGAACATGGGAAGTTTTCCATTTTCTAGTGTCTTCTTCAGTTTCTTTCTTCTGTGTTCTATGATTTTAGGTCTTTCAACTTCTCGGGTTTTTTTTTTTTTTTTAATGCTAGTGTGAATAGGATTGTTTTCCTGATTTCTTTCTCAGCTATTTCATTTTGGTTTATGGGAAAGTTATTGATTTTTGTATGTTGATTTTGCGTACTGCTACTTTGCTGAATGTGTTTATTACCTCTAGCAGTCTTCTGATTGAGCTTTTCAGATCTTCCAAGTATAGGATCATATCATTTGCAAACAGTTGGTAATTTGATTACTTTCTTTCTTATTTATATTTTTTACTTTCCTAATTGCTCTGGCAAGGCATTCAAGTACTATATTGAATAGGAGTGATCAGAGTAGACATCCTTGTCTTCTTCTATATTTTAGAAGAAATGTTTTCAGTTTTTCCTTGTTCAGTATGATGTTGGTTTTGGGTTTGTCACATTTAGGCTTTATGATGTTGAGATATGTTCCTTCTATCTCTAGTTTCTTCACTGTTTTTTATCAGGAATAGGAACTGACTTGTTTCAAAAACTTTTTCTATGTTGGTCTTGTTAGTTCCATTTCTTCCCTCTTTCTTAAAGGTTGTTGTGTTGTGTAGGAGTCTATTGGATGGGGAACCTATTGCTCCATAATTGATACCCAAAGATTAGTGATTTAAAATCACAACCCCTTTGTTATTGCTTGTGATTGTTAATTAGATGCAACTGGGCAGTTCTTCTGCTGGCCTTGCTGGGTTTATAATACAAGTTGTAATCAGAGGGCACCTGGGGGCTGAAACAGCCAAAGTAGCTTTACTCACATGTAACACCTTTATGGAGGCACATCTCTGTCTCTGTCCGTGTAGCATACACATGGCTAGCTCGGACATGTAGCTAGATTCCCAAGAGCACAAATGAAAGTAGAAGTGTCAGACCTTCTTCAAAACTTGAACCTGGGTTCAGTGCAGGAGGGGACTGCGCATGAGGATGAATTCTGGAAAGTATCTTTGGAGACTTAGTTAGCTACCTGGTAGGTAAGATCCTAAATCTTGATCCTTTGTTATTATCACTTTCACTTTTTTCCTGGTGGAATGTGTTGCCCATTGTGTTTCATTTACCAACTGGAGGTGAAACCTAATGTTCTTCAACTTAAAACTTTTGAGTTTAAACTAGCAAATTATTGTTGCAGAAGAGGGAATACTAGTACTGAGCAAAACAAAAATAACATCTTTAAGCCACTCAACTATTCCATCATGCAATTGTTTTTCCAAACAATTCATTTGCTCTCCCCTGAGCAAGTGATTTGCTACTAGAGATTAGATGTTGTCATGAGTGATACATTGACATGTTATCTATTTTAACTTCTAGGACTCTAATTGTGCTAATAATGTCAGTATCACTAACTGGATAGAAGATACTGACATAGTGACTTCATCAAGTTGTCTTGTCTCATTCTCTCTCTCTGTCCAGTTCCTTTTGAAACAAATACGAAAGCAGAAACAGTCACACCTTCTGATGCTACCCAGAATGATGAAAGAGACCAAAGAGATGGTTCAGACTCTGGCTTATTGAGCTCAATTCCAATGAAAATATATCCCAGTGGAGTGGAATCATTATCAGAGAAGAATGCCAGTGGCACCTCTGCCCCTGATGCCCCCATCATCCTGAGCCCCCCACAAACCCATACGCCAGACACATACAACCTGGTTTGGAGGGCAGGAAAAGATGGCGGACTGCCCATCAATGCCTATTTTGTGAAATATCGAAAGGTAACACCTACTCAATTATCACTTTTATCTTCTCACAATATAACCTGTTTGTATACTGTGTTAGTATTATCTTTTACATTTGTGGAAGGGCAGGACACAGAAGTGCTTCCAGAATGATGAATTTATCATAAATATCCCCCTAGTCATGCTGGATTAACCAGGTTTATGAAAGCAGTAAGAATGACATCTAAATAATTTCCCCCCTAATTGGGATTCTAAACACTCAATAACCACATMGAATTTTTTTTATCTTGGGTGCCAGGCTCTGTAAACCACTTTCAAAACCATAATTGCATTCCTTGCTAGCAGTAGAATACAGTTTATTCAGCAAGTAGAGCAGCTTCTTATTAGAAACAACTGTTTAAATGAAATCTTCTGGCATAATCTCTGACTATYGTTTGCATTTTGGGCTGTCTTCTTAATTGTGTTAAAATCTTATATTGTTCTGTCATTTACTTTGGTGAATCTTGGGCCTGTCTCATTCATTCTTCAGATAATGTTTTTCCTTCATGGTCCTCCCTGGGCTTTTATTAAAGCAAAAGGAGTTTTCCTCTCTTAATAAAATAAACCAACAAAATGTGAGGAGAAATACTCATATTTAAAATCACTTTCTCTCTGTAACACATTTTGGTATCTATTATTGAATTGTTTAGTTAATGATCATCTGTTATTTTTAATGACTGGAAAAACTAAGGTGATGACACTGAGAAGTTTATCCACGATTTCTATTGTAATGATGCTAGATGAGGAAAGTAAGTTTTGCTGGTAATACTATTCACCCTAAAGCCTCATGCAATATTTGTTCTTGGTTTCATTAATCAAGAAATAACTGATTGGATCTCTTTTATCTCCTCCAACACATAGTGAACAATTTCAAAACATGAAGCAAGAATGCTAGAAATATATAATTCATATATATACAAACATTTAATATACTATCTTTATCACATATTTATTCTATGTTTTATGTATTACCAATAATATTACATATGTTTTTTTCCATTAATCCAGTAAGAAAGGTGGTATTGTCCCCATTACAGGTCAAAGGGAATGGACTCTGGGAGGGCCAATGGGGCTGGGAGTCTTCTTACAAGAGTTCTTCCTTCTTATATTTCTTAATGTAGAAAGTATTGTGTCTAATTTACTTATAATAGTACATCACCTCCTCAAACTTCTGTAGAATTAAATGAATTCTAGTTTTTATCAAGTTTTATCTAGTTTATCAAGTTTGATGAAAAGTTYCTGCCCTCTGTCTCCCATTGTTCTGGGATTTCTCTTGAGCAGCTGGACGATGGTGCTGGTATCGTGGGAAGCTGGCACACAGTTCGAGTCCCAGGAAGTGAAAATGAGCTGCATTTAACTGAACTGGAGCCATCCAGTCTTTATGAAGTTTTGATGGTGGCAAGAAGTGCTGCAGGTGAGGGTCAGCCAGCCATGCTCACCTTCCGAACCAGCAAAGGTGAGTATGAATTTCTATTGGAAGAATGATCTGGCTCTCTTGATGTCAATTTATTAGTAAGAATCCTTCTATATAGTAGAGATTCTTGGATATAAATGCAAGATATAAATTCTTGGCTATAATTCTTGGATATAAACAAACTCATTGTAGCATCTCTTTTTTTCCTGCCACATTGGGGCAGTTGTGTTATACTAGTCCATCTAATATTCCATAGGTAAATTTTACATATATATATATATCTCAAAAAGGGCCATTGATACAGTTCAGTGGTAGAGTGCCCCTGGGTTCAGTCCCTAGTACCACCCACACACACATAAATATATAAATATATGAGAATATATGTATATTTATATGTGTATGTGTGTGGTACTGAGGATTAAACTCAGGGTCACTCTACAACTGAACTGTATCAATGGCCCTTTTTATTTTTTATTTTTATACAGGGTCTTGCTAAGTTGCCCAGGCTGGCCTCTTGAACTTGCAACCTTCTTGCGTCAGCCTCCCAAACTGCTGGAATTACAGATATGTACCACTTGACCCAGCTCCAAAAATATTTTTGAAAGCTTGTGATATGCAAGGCTTTAGGATAGGTGATGCAGGGAAGACAGAGATGGACATGACAAGAGCCATCTTAGTTGAGCTATGCTTTGATAGGAAAGGTAAGATATATACTTAAATATCAGCAAGACAGAATTTAATTCTGTTCAGATAATATTTACTGAGTACACAAAATAGGCAAAACTCCTTGCCCTCACAGAGCCCATATTTTAGTTGGGATAGCCTTATACTTAAGTTATAAGTCTTTTTAGAAGGTAGTCTTAACAAGTGAAATGAATTAGGGGACAGATACTTAAAGTGTATAGGGAGGAGTGGTTACAGTTTAAGCAGGTGGCCAGGGAAGTCCTCAACTAGTGATCAGCTGCAGAGCAACTTGAAAGAGAGAAAGTAGAAAGTCATGCRGGTATCAGGGGAAAGAACATTTTTAGCAGAGAAGAGCAGGTCCCAAGGCCCCAGGGTGGGGTRTGATTATCATGACCCCTAGAAATATCAAGGGGCCACTGTGACATGAGCAAAGTAAGGAGGGGGTGGCTATTATGGAAAGGTGCTCAGGGAGATGACAGGGTAGTCAAATCACACAGTACTCTGTGTACTTTGCAAGGACTTTTATTTTTCCTCTAGGTGAGCTGGAGCTTTTGAGCAGAGCAGTGATGTGATGTGCTAACTGGTGATTCTCTGCTAATAGGGCATGAAGTGCAGGTGGACTGGAGGAAGGCAGGGATGTAGGCAAAGATACCTACATATGACAGGTGCTAGGAGATTTCTAAACAGGGTGCAAGAGTACATGGGAAGGATCGTCCTGTGGAGCAATTGGGAGGGAAGGCTTGATTGAAGATGCCATCATGGCTGGCCAGGAATCAGTGGGTGGAGATGGGAACTGGGTGGAAGAGTTTTTCAGTTTGTCAGTGTAATAAAAGGGAGATCTAAGGATTGAGAAGAAATTATCTATTAGCCTTTGAGAAAGATTGTTCTGTCTGATTACTAAGTGTGGCCAGAAAATAATGAATACTTCCTAAATGCATCTTGTGTTAATTTTCACCATCAGTCCTTAGTTATAATGASTCTAGCTTATAAATATGGAAGAATAAACATGTATTTCAGTTTTCTTAAAAAGTCACTTGATGTCTCTTTTTGCCTATTGAAATATTGAAACGTATTGTGACCTTTTTCCTGTGGAAAAAATTTAGCAGGAGTTCTTTAAAATGAATTTTATTTTAAAATTAAGGAATATGTACAGTTAAAAAAAGGGCTAATTGTTTAAGCCTTCACTCTCCTCCTTTGACTTCTTCACAAGAAGACACTTTTAGCTTTCTTTTAAAGATACAAGAAAAAGACGAAGTAATATTTTATCAATTCCTAAGCTCAGTTAAGTATATATAATATAGGTGATAGCTTTTGATGCTGTAGAAGATAAATTCATATCTATAGCTATGTGTCAGTTGAGTTTCACAGTAATCTTAAAAAAAAAAAAAGGCGTTACCTAAATAAGCTTATGTTGCAGTGGTTTTCGTTTATTTTATTTTAAACCTTCCTAGAAAAAACAGCATCATCAAAAAACTCCCAGGCCTCTTCTCCACCCGTGGGCATCCCTAAGCATCCTGTGGTTTCAGAGGCAGCAAACAACAATTTTGGAGTGGTGCTTACAGATTCCGCCAGGCATAGTGGAGGTAAAGAAAGGAGTCTTCATTTTATTTATTTGCTTATGTGTGTAACTGCCCCATTTCAGGCTTTTGGGAAATGGAAGAGAAATAGAGTGTATTGGTTATTCAAATTATATTTCCACATAGCTCTAATAGGTTCTATTTCAACCATTTTTAACATTCAGGCCTTAAACATTGGCAACCAGTGTCATGATTRTTATTTTACCTAAGAAAACTCAGATTCAAAATGTTCTCCTACCAAGTTTTTATAACTCATGAAAAGGGGTTTTTTGTCTCTTCTTTAGCAAAAAAAAATGAAATTTACATTTTAAGTTCTGAAAATCTGAATTATTGTGTGTTTGTGACTTTTCAGAATGTATGGTGGTACAATGTTAAATTATTTTACTGAAAGATAACATGTCATATTTACTACTATTGCTGTATCTAGTTAATCTTAGGATTTTTAAAGTTTTTGTGCAGTAAAATATTCAAAAGATTTMTTTTTAAAATTTAAACTTCATATTAACAGTGTGCTATGCCTCACCCCCAATATGCTGGGTATCAAACCYAGGGCCTTGTGTATGCTCAGCAAGCTTGTTGAGCACAATCCCAAACCCCCTAAGTGCTTTTTGTGTTTGTGCTAATGCTTGGGACAGTTAGGGAAGACTTCACATTTCACTGCTGAGCTCTTAAAGTTTGTAGATTTCTCTCTCGTGTTTTTATACTTTTCCATGAATTTGTCTCAGACAAAATGAGGTCAAAACACTTTGACTCTGTCGTCAATATCATGAGCCTTGGTTTCCTCAGTTCTTCTACCTCAGAGAAGGCACATTTCCAGTATCTTAAGTAGATTACTCATATGGGTATCACCTTTATGTGACTAAAGTTAACATTTGAAAATCAAAAACTTTATTTATTTAACAAACCCTGTGGAAGACACTTTGCTAAATGCTAGAACAGCAGAGGAAAAAAAATAATCCTTGCTTTCAGGGAGTTTATGGTGGATGATAGAGATACCTAAACCCACACTAATGAGTGGATGAAATTAACAATGAAGCTAGTAACAACAGAGTAGGTAACATAGACAAGCCAGGAACAACAATTTTGATTTTTTCTGCTTGRAATTATATCTGTGGTCACAAAAGAAATACTCAAGTCCCCCGCTTACAGAGGAGGATGAATWGCAACAAGAGAAGCTCTTTAGCAACCTGAGCTAAGCCTCAGAGGACAAGAATGACACAGTGAGGTGAAGAAACAGGAAAAGAGGTTCTACGCAAAGACATCTCCTTGTGCAGAGATGGACAAATGACAGGCTTTATTTAGAGATAAGAGATCTTATTTACTGTGACTGGTTGCCGGGAGGATGATGCAAGTGTCGGGGAGACAGGTAGGTGCCAGGTGCCTTGTATGACACCCTAGTTTATCTTTCTCTGGGAGCTAAAGAACTAACGGATTTTAAAGATGGAGAGGGAGGAATGGCAAAAGGTAAGGCTGGAAAAATAAAGAGGATGGTAACAGTATGAATGAAGAGGAGGTCACGTGTGTGATTAGAGGAAGAAATCATCATTGAAGGAGGGAGAGAGATGGTGATTTGGGCTTGGGCAACTAGGGATCATTTACTAGTGTGGCTAATAGGAGATTATGGATTCAGTTCTGAAAGTCCTGAGTTTGGAGTTATCCAAGCAGAGAAAACCCTAAGAAATGACTTATTTGATCTTTGTAATAACTAATGAGGAAGGCAGCTTATCCATTTTATACATTAGGAGATGAGGCTCCAGGAGGTCTAGCAGCATGCCTGAGGTCATACAGACAGAGCTGCTATTCAAGTCCATATCTTCCAACTTGTTAAAAGTCACTTGCTGTTTCTTTTAGATATGAAAGATATCCTTCTCTATAGAGGTATTTTCCCCAGTAACTTTTTTTTTCCTATTTGATCCTTTGGTATTTGGTGAATTTGAACCGCATATGAATCAATGGGAAAAAAGTCATTTGGTGGTCTAGTATTTTTAAGAGATTCACTAACAGTTCTATTCATTCTGTTTTCATTGCTTTCTAATTAAAAGGAATACAGTAAGTATTAAAGTTGCCTGCTTTGAATATATTCCTCTTTTTATCCCTTAAAYGATGCTTTTAAAATTCTGTGGTTTTCATATAAGTACTGTGTTCAACATTATTTCTTCTTTCTTATGTATTTGGAATGAGGATTGAGGAGGTCTAGTTAGGATGGAAGTATTTTGTGACTTAGGCTAAAGAGGCAGGGCTCCCTTGGTGGATTTGCCACAATCCAGTCATCATGGCCCAGAGTTGCCCCTCCACTTTCCAGCTTTAGAAACTTAGTTGTCACTATGCCAAAAGATCTTTGGTCTCTTGAGAAACAGCTCACATTTACAAATTGCACAGTGAATATGACTAATGTAAACTAGAATGGCAATTTAATAGTTTGTAATGTAACTGTCATACAAGCCAGATCGTTTCTCTCAGCATCCTTCTCTCGTGGGAACYAGGTGGGAAGCCAGTTACATGACCACCAAATTACCTGATCAGTGAGATGAGTTAGGTACATGATTGAATCCTGCAGTTTCTACCTGCCACAGGTAGAATTTGAGGACTTCTAATTTGAGGACTAGGGTATATTGAAAGCTACCCCAAATTAGTTCCCTGGCCCCATTTTCTTCATGTTCAGGGGGATCGTCTTTCTAATAGCATCTTTCTTTGGTTATATATCTTGTCTTCCTGCTTTCATCCTGAATAACATTCTCCCCAGCCACTATTATTAGTATTGATTTTATAGTCAAATTTTATCTCTACTTGCTGCTTGCAGTCTGTATTTTGGAATAGCTCATAATCTTGAGGTATATTAAAATAGGATATAATAGTAATAGTTAATATAATACCCAGCAGGTTGCTGAATATGTTTATGTAATTTAGGTGGATAAAGAAAAAATATTTAAATAAGATAATTCATAATTATGAGAATTTATCCTAAACTATAACCAATGCTTAAAGCACCAAATAATAATTTTTTTACACATTGTCTTGGTCATGAACCTAAAATACCATAGTCAAAATTATATTTACTAACTTAGTCTTTCAGAGCTAATTATCAAGCCTACAGTTCATTTTACTTTTCTTTCCTTTTATTTTCTACATCTGATCATTTCATTTCCCATTCACTTTTAAATGGGAAATGGAACATAGCCACGATATTATGAACTCTGGCAAAAAATTTAGTGAGGAACCTTTAATAACATGAGATTTGAGATTTATTCCTTTTAGTTTATTTGAGTTATTCTTGTCTCTGACACTGTGGGTTATTGTGGAATGAATGTTTCCATTTTCAGTTCCAGAGGCTCCAGATCGGCCTACCATCTCCACTGCATCAGAGACCTCTGTGTATGTCACTTGGATTCCCCGGGCGAATGGTGGGTCTCCAATTACTGCCTTCAAGGTGGAATATAAGAGGATGAGGACTAGTGATTGGCTGGTGGCAGCTGAAGATATCCCTCCCTCCAAACTTTCTGTGGAAGTTCGTAGTTTAGAACCAGGTAGTAATATTCAAATGTTTTCTTTCTTTTTAACCACCAGTGCTAACTTTATTTAAATACAGATTTTTAATAATCTTGTGTGTTTCTTTTCTAATTGTTAAAGTAATGAATGCTTGTTGTCTTTACTTCTGGGTTTTAGATTGTTGTTGTTTATTTGCCATTGGAAATAATGTTGTGATTCATCTTTCTATGTATGTGTTTTGATATGATAGAATGTTATAGGAAGAAAATCTTGCTATTTCATTAAACTTGTTTGATTAGATGTTGAATCTCAGCACAGTTATACTCAATATACTTATGAGACCATAAACACTTCTTCTATAAATTTTGTTTCATCAGAGGATTTCCTCCCTACCCCCCAAATCTTGAGATTATATTAACGAGATTAAGCCATAAAATAGATAAAAATTAAGGCAGTATTTGTTTGGATTCATGACAATTTTCACTTCTGGACTTTTAAATGTACACTAGTAGGAAATGCCTGTGTTTGTCTAACTGTGTTTTGTGAGGAGTGTAGGAATCCATCAGCATAGTCGGGAGAATGCAGCTTTTTAAATGTGGTTGTGAAGCTGAGTAACATTTCAGAGATTGAAAGTATTGTCTTCAGAAGCCCAGTTGTTGTTTTTGAGTGATTAGGAAACTCGGTATTAGGATTTTGATTTATTCTTTAGGTTTAGGTTAAAATTTTTAAAAATTCATAACCCTTAGAATTTGTAATATCTACTCCCCCACAAATTCCTTCTGTGATCATTTAAATCTGCTCCTCCTTATTCTAGTACCTTTGAAACCAGAATGTCATCTGCTGTTACCCACATGGTGCCTGTTTATAAATGTTAAATTTTGGCTAAGTTGTTTCTTTCATAATGAAAAGAACCTGGTGTTGGGGATAAATACTTCAGCTAATCCTGGCTCAAATGGGTGTGACTTTGAGTGGGAAAATGAAGAGTGAATGTCCCTTTCCCTGTTCTCTACCTGCTCCTTCTATGTCATTAATCTTCCACAGCTTTGGTTCTAATAATGACTTGAAATCCTGAACCCAAAGTATAGAACAACCCCCTGCAGTTGATTGAAATTGGCAAGTGGGTTGAAATTTATTTTCTGTGCCAACATCAGTGTGTCATTGTAGTTAGGCACTTAAGCACAACTGCCATAGTTTGAATAGTCTGCCTTCAGATATGGCYTTTTATGGTTATGGGTTGTTTTTGTTTTTTCCCCAAAAGGTTCAACGTACAAATTTAGGGTCATTGCCATCAACCATTATGGTGAGAGTTTTCGAAGTTCGGCTTCTCGTCCCTATCAGGTGGCTGGATTCCCCAAACGTTTTTCCAATCGACCGATAACTGGACCTCATATCGCCTACACAGAGGCTGTTAGTGACACACAGATCATGCTAAAGTGGACGGTATGTAAACATCTTTTCTAATGAGAATATTTCCTGGTTTGTTTCTGTTAACAATTTAATATTCTCATGATGTGAGCAACAAATGGTTGAACCTTAAGTTGAGGGGAAATTGAAAGCCATCAATTTTTGTCTAAAGGCACGTGGTCTAAGAGGGGTGTGGTTAAAAATAAAATTAGTGTTTCCGCAGCTCTTATTCAAGTGTTGTTAACCTAATTGCCATGTTATGCCTTTGAACCTAGTGAAGTGCATACTGGTTTGGTTTTGTTTGGTCCAGCATTTGGCTTACTGCTCTTATTACCTTTGAATACCTTTGAATTAAGTTTAAAATGGCCATTAAATATGCTTGAAAAATGAAGCTATATTACCATACTGGTAAAGAAATCTTAATAGGTATAACAGTTAACATTCTTTTTGTCTTTGACAATTCTTTACTACTACTACTTTTTTTTTTTTAGTACATTCCATCAAGTAACAATAACACTCCCATTCAAGGATTTTATATCTATTACCGACCAACAGATAGTGACAATGACAGTGACTATAAGAGGGATGTTGTAGAAGGTAAGTCCCACTGGCAAACTGGAGTGCCCATGAAGGAACTTTGAAGGGACAGGCCTTATAAACATGAAATGCATCATCACAAGTTAGGATAGAGTAAAAAATGAAATTGAATATGTACTATCATTGTTGAATTTGTTTCAATTTTTCCAGTTTAYTTATATAGTACAAAACATATTCATTGTAGAAAGTTATAAAAGTTAGGRGGGAAATATGATTTTTCAGTAGTTCATCTGAAAAAGATTCTGATTTCTTTTTTTCTCTAAATGACCAACAATCTATGTATAAATCAGTGGCAACTTCTATCTACATTTAAAAAATAATGTCTCAAACAGTTTCTTTGTCTGTACCAGAAATATCACATCTTAAGCACATTATCCACTTTTGGAGATACTAAGAAATTGGAATGCATGTAGAGAAGAAAAAGAAAGCAGACACAATGGTGAAGGGTGTCAACACTGCTTTTGTAATATTTAAGACAAAATTCAGAATTTCCAATTCAGTTCCTGCCTCCACCTTCAGCCATGTCTCCTGCATCTCTCCCTTCCTCATTGAATACCCACCACACTTACCTTCTTTCAGCTTCCTCATGTGCACCAACATTTTTCTTGTCTCAGGACCTTGGCAGAGGGTAGTTCCTACCACCTACTATACCACTGTCCCCACACTTTACCAAGATATACCTACTTTTTCCTCTGGGGTGTTTAAATGTTACTCCCTCAGATAAATCTTCCCAAAAGTTCTGAAAATATTTGCTTAATGTGTGTCTTCCCTACCAAATATTAACCTCCCTGTGGACATGGGGCCCCTTCTCTCACTGCTCTGTCCCCAGTCTTTACAGTGGTGAGGTGCTCAGTATTGAATGAATGAAAGATYATAAATGGAATCTCAGAAGAACAGTGGACTATCTAGTGATGCTCAGAATGGAAAAAAGAAGACYGAGAGAAGCAACACAATAGCTGTCTTCATGTATTTACTGTTATGTGGAAGAGGAGCTAAGTCAGTTAGGGGATGGGGGGTTATAAGGAAATAATGTAAGAACTTTCTAACATAGCATGTCTAATGTAGATTTCCTCACAAAATAATAGACTCCCTAGCTTCGAAAGTATAGAAGCTGGATACCTCTCTCTTTCTTCCTTCTTTCCCTCCCTTCCTTCCTTCTTTCTTTCTCTCTGTGTGTTTTTGTGTGGTGCTGGGTATTGAATCCAGGGCCTTGCACACATTACCAAGTATTCTACTATTGAGCTGCACCCCAGCCTAAAGGTGCCTAATTCTTAGTAATATCTTGGATAGGTTTCTTGCTCTGGGAGGAGGTCTTTTTTCACTCCCAGATTCTGATTCTTTGAGATATTAAATTTCTTGGCTGAGAGTGTAGCTCAGAGGTACAGTGTGTGCAAAGTCTTGGGTTCCATACTCAGCATCAAAAAAAAAAAAAAAAAAAAGAAAAGAAAGAAAGAAATATTAAGTGTTTTAATGAATCATGTCAGAAAATTGTCCTAGGCCAAGGTTATTTTCCATGACTTGTTGACATCAAATGTCAACATATAGTTTTTGTTACAACAAATTTCTTTTTTTAAAAAAACTTTTTSTTCTTTTTAGTTATACATGATGACAGTAGAGTGTATTTTGGCATATCATACATCCATAGAGTATAACTTCCCATTTTAATGGCTGTACATGATTTACACTGATCATGTATTCACATATGAATATAGGAAATATAACAAATTCCTTTAAATATGCTGTATTATATTTCTCTATTGTCTCATTCTTTTTAATATCTATCCAATGGAATTTTGTCATATAATGAAAAATTTATGATCTGAGCTCTTATACTTGGCATATAGTAGGTAGATGTTGAATCATTTTTAAATGAAGGAATGATTGTTTCCCTTCTGCTATAATTTGTAGTGGCAAAGCTGTTCTGTGCCTTTCAAAGTTAAGACTGTAATGGTCTTGAGGGAGAGAAGGGTCTGGAAGGAGCATGGAGGGACATTGGTGATGTCAGCAATGTACTTTCTTGACTGGGTATTGGCTGTGTTCACTTTGTGAACATTCATTGAGATGTACAGTTTTTTGTAACTTTTCTGTATGCATATTATATATCAACAAAAAACCTATTAAGAAAGAAATAGTAAGAATTTTGATGATTCTGCCTTTTGGTCTTATCTAAGTCTTCCTTTTATTTAACTGGGTTATGGGAATGAAAAGTCAGATTTTTATTTAAATATTTTTTACAGTAAACATTTGTTTATGAGGTAGCTCTGAATAGTTTAAGACAAATATAAATGAAATGAATATCCATTTCTGTCTCTTTTAGTGTCCACTTCTCCCTTCCTAGTTCTACTTTGTAGGAATATCTGCTGGTAAACAGTTTTTAAACTATATTCTCTAGGCAAATCTTTGAGCCTTAACAAACTTCTGTGATGTCATTGTTAAGCATGGAACTTGGAAATTAGTTCAACAAAAGCTTTGTGTCTAGTATAGTGTCTGCAAATGTTGAATTTTTCCTTATGGTTCAGGAAGAACTGTTTATAAATATAATACATTGAGCAGTTAGATGTTTAAGTGGGCTTCACTGTGCTGTGTAATTTGCTTATTCCTATTTTTGATTTTATACATTTGAAATTCTTTTTGTGGTATTTGGAACCATTGGTTTGTTTTCCTAAACCCAGTAACAAAAATACTCATCATTTGGACTTAAAATTTTTCTTTAAAACTTTTTGATTCTTACACATAATCAAAAATTTAAAACTTAAGCTTTAAAAAAATTGAAGCAATTAAATTTTTAAAAACACAGTACAAGAACAGTTATTTWATTGAAATTATCCAACCTTCCGAATTAAGTTTCACATTTAGGTAAACTATAAATGTTTCCAGCATACCAGTGCTTTTAGGCTGAATATTTTTATCTTGTTGAGTTCCAAGTAAATCAAATCTAAGGTCATTCTTTTAAGTCCGTGCTTTTCTTTCTCTGTGGAAAGTCCTTACCTTTTATAAAACATCTTTTGGGAAAATAAAGGATAAGTGCTCATTGATTGGTTATAAGCCAATTAATGTGCATCATTGTCTTATTCATCAGTGATTAGTAGATTCCTTCTCTTTGCTGATAATTCCTAAAATTTTAGCCATTGGAGGAATTTGTGTAACAACAGAACATGAACCTAATAGGATAGATATTATTTTAACTCTTTTCTCTTAGTTACATATCAGAAACCTAGTTTGATTCCATTTGTACTAGTGCTGTGAAAGGAAAACTTCAAGTCTAGGTTAGTAATTATTCAAGAGAATGTTTATAATAGGTGGGTATAGGACCAGCTCAAGAAAGACCTATGGCTAGAGTAAAAATATAAGCCTTTTGGGAAGTTTTTAGATTTTAGAAATAGGTCTGTTCCAGTTTCAAACAGTTTGGGGATAAAAAAAATGGGGGGAACAGCTCTCTTTACATTTATAGACAGGGCATAGAATTCCTCACTTCTTGAGCCTTCAGAGACCCTTGATCCTAAAACAAGCAGATTTTCTTTTTTATAAAATGAGTCTATATGAGAGAGGGATCGTGTATTGGTGACTGGGAGGGGGATTGCACTTCCTGATTGAAATGTTTTTGTCTGTGTTGCATTAGAAAGGAGCCTGTGATACTGGTCCTGTCAGCCAAGTGGATTTGAGTTGTGCGTGTGGTTTTGTTGGTTTTGTTTTTTTCTCTCCTTTAATTAATTCTTAAATCAGTTGGTGGTATACTTGAATTTCTAAGAAATAGTGGAAACAGTTTGAAGAGTGTTTTCTAAGAGGGATTAAGAGTGCTCGAAGAGTTAATTAAATCTGGCAAAAGTGTCCCTGTTTATGAAAGTTTGTCACAGGCCCATGGAAGTGAAAATGGAGAGTGATTTATATTGGAGTGTTCAGTTAAGGAGTGTTTCTAAATGAAACCTTGGCTGTGTGCCATGGATAACAGAATCATTCTATTAGAGATACTTGTGTGGTTTGGAGACCCGGACTCAAAGGGAAAGTGGCTTTGGGAGCAGCTGCTGAAAGTTTCCCATACTAAGTATTGCTTTTTGTTGATTCTGTGCAATTTATTAAGGTATTTYTTTATGAATCAGTCCATGGGTTGTGTCCATGACAATGGACATGAGAGTTTCTCTGAGGTCTTTCTTGAAACTGATCACTTGTTCTGGGTGGTACACTGTTTGCTTATCTCATATGTAGTAATGCTTTTTGGTGGTGGATGTAGTGGATTGACTTTGGGGCTAAAATGTAGGCCAAAGGACTTGAAATTGTCTTACCTATGCATGAGGTTAATGTGTATTTTATGAAAGACTCACCACTAATTATTTTTATTAAGTCAAGTATTACTGTCAAAATACAATAGCTTTAACTCACTCTATCTCTTTACCTTTATTCCATGCTACTTAATAGAAATGCTACTTACTTGTGGCACATTATTCAAATACCTAATATTTACATTTTTATTGCATACACCATACTGGGTGGTGATGGATGCTATTTTAACCTCATTCTGAAAAATTGAATAATTTTATTGACATAATCATTTAGGTTGTATGATGTGCAAATCTTATTTTTTATTTTTCTTTTCTAGGTTCAAAGCAGTGGCACATGATTRGTCACCTCCAGCCAGAAACCTCCTATGATATTAAAATGCAATGCTTTAATGAAGGAGGAGAGAGTGAGTTTAGCAATGTGATGATCTGTGAGACTAAAGGTAGGAGAGGGGTGAGAATTTGTGCTTTCTCCCTGGGCAGTATACAGATTCCGAACTCTGGATGATTCCTTCAGACTGTTGATATATTTCCCTAAGGGAATTTCTGCTTTGCTCCATTTTCTAGGTGCTGACATTTAGACTATCCCAACATAAATATARTATGTTGGTTAGAGAACTTGTCTAAAAAACATCTACATTAGCATTAATTCTGCTTATTAATTTCTGTGTAACTCTGAATAAATTAATTCCCTTCTCTTTTAATCCATGYAGAGAATAGAGATTTTCTAATTGCTTTCTGAGATTTCTGTGAGAATTAGAATTCTAACAAAACCATAGATATTAAGAAAAAGTGCTACGTATGTGTTTAGTCAGTTTTCTGTTACTGTAATGAAATACTTGAGGCTGGGTACTTTATAAAGAGAAGAGGTTTATTTCCGGAGAGTAAAGGATGTGGCATTGGCATTAGCTCAGCTCTGATGAGAACCTCATCACACATAAAATCACAGTGATAGGAATGTATGCAAGGGAGAGATCACTTGGTGAGACAGAAAGCCAGAATGTCCAGGAAGATGTCAGGCTTTTTTGTTTGTTTGTTTTTGTTTTTGCTTTTAGAGAGAGAGAGAATTTTAGTATTTATTTTTTAGTTTTCGGCGGACACAACATCTTTGTATGTGGTGCTGAGGATCGAACCCGGGCCGCACGCATGCCAGGCGGGCRTGCTACCGCTTGAGCCACATCCCCAGCCGGATGTCATGTTTGTTTTAACAACCCTTTTATGAGAACTAACTCTAGTCCATAAGACTATCACTTTCTCCCTAGGGCAGTCCCCCCACTGAACACCCTCTAGGCTCTACCTCTTAAAATTGCCGCCACCTCCTAACATGGTCACACTGGGAACCAAGCTTCTAACACATGAACTCTTGGAAACACGTTTAAATAGCAGTAAGTTGCTTTATTGACATATATGTACACAATACACACAAAAAAGAAATTTTTTTAATTATATATAGATTTTAAGTTTAGAATAAATAACCACCAATTCTAAATTGACATTCTCCACCTACTGACTGAAAATGTTATCAGCTTTAAAACAGAAGACATAGTATGTGTATAATCGAAATAGCTAATGTGGATATTTATAAAGCAATGTCATTCCATCTAGTCCCAATTAATCTTCATACCCACTTGGCAACTGTAAGTAACAAAATCCTCACCAAGTAGGCTTCAGCACTGAGGATGTRTTTTAGCCCAGATAAGAGGTCTGGAGGTAGGTAACTAACATCAAGTTGTTTACTTCAGAAGTTTGTTGGTTTCTGTCTTTCCACTTGCCATCCTCTGGTTGTCCCTGTAACCCTGTGTCTAGCATCACTCTGCTTGCCACACTTCTGGCCTTCACACCTAGGTATTGTGATGTCTGATAACGCCTGTTTTTAAGACCAAGAAAATTTCCCCCCAAAGTCCAATAACCCCACAGGCCTTATTGGCCAGATCTCAATCAGATGCCACCCCCAAGCCAAATCATCAAGATTATTTGCTGGATTTGCCCCAGAAATAGGTGGGGTTTGGGTGGACACCTAAACACACTCCAGGCTCTGCTAACATAGAAGGAGAAGGCTATTTACTGGACCGGGCAGCCATTAATACCTGCAACAGGTGTTTCTCTTATCCCTATTTAAAAATGAGGATATGAGAAAATAAATTAAAAAACAAAATGAGGAAGTGGTTTAAAAGATTGAATTACAAAGTCAATGCTTATTTCCATCTTTTAAGTTCTAAATCAAGTGTCTTTCTGCTGCAAAAGTCTCATATTAAATTCACAAACAATACACACACACACACACACACACACACACACAGACCTTACTTTGAATTTCATTTGGTTAGTATATATTTGAGTGCCTATTTGAATCCAGATACTGAAGTATTCATGAGCCTTTACTTGCCTCTAGAGTGCTGTAATACTCAATAAAGTGAAATAAAAATGAAATATATCATCTCTTTCACCAACACATTTAAGAATCTTGCCAAGCAAAGCAGAACAACACTGGGTTGTGGGTGTAACTCAGTGACAGCGTACTTGCCTAGCATGCATGAGGCCCTGGGTTCAATCCCCAGCACCACAAAAAAAGGAAGGAAGGAAGGAAGGAACTGAGATAATGTTATAGAAGTGTGTTTAAATTTATGTAGCTCATTATCTGACTTTGCTAGCAAACAAAGGATTATACCTGTAGACTTTCAGATAGTGAAAAAACCTCTTTGAAATGTGAACTGTTCATATTGAATGACTTTCTAAAATGGATCACACAATTCCTAGCCTTTTTAGATAGAAGATAGGACATATGATTTACCCTTTTAAAAAACATGGGTCCTGGGTCTCGTTGTGAACAATGATTGTTTTATCTTAAGGAATTCAAAAATGTTCCAGGATGGTGGAGCTATTACAGGACAGCCCTTTCCCTTCTCATTACAGAGCAGAGACTGCCATGATTTTTCCTTTAGTTTTTTATTTTAACCCCATGTTTGTAACCCCACATTTCTCACATTTCACATTTCTCTTAGCCCTCTGTTCTTATTGCTATTGGTGTGTCTGTCACACTCATCCCCAGCACAAGTCAATAATCTTCAGCCTTTGGTTTTAGAAAAAGGTTGGAAACCAGATGATCAAGCTTATTAGAAATGCAAATAAATTAAAAATAAATTTGATGGCTTCCTTATGAAAAATCATATCTTTAATGTGTTATAAGAAATATCTGTTTTTGCCTTAGAAACTTCGTTTTCTCTAGGGTTGGCAGGGACCTTGGGATTTTACAATCTCACATACCACCTGAAGTATAAATTGCTTCTGGATTCTCTGCTAAATTTTCATTCAACTTCCAAAAAAGGAGAGCTCCTTCCTTCAAGAAATGGGCTCTTCTTTCCTTATTTATTCCCAGCTCTGTTCTATGTGGCTGATATTGCTAGAAAGTAGAACCCTAGTTTAATTTTGTTTATTGAGTAGCTTTTCCAAAGCCTACTTAGGACTTYGGGCAAGTCATAGAAGCTAACAGGAAATACAGTATAACTAATAATAATAGCAAAATTGCTCACACCATGTGCGAGGCTTGAAGTGTTTTCTATGGATTAACACATTTACTCTTTTTTTTCACTTTATTTTTTATTAATTTTTTTATTTATATATGACAGCAGAATGCACTATTATAATTCTTTTTTTTAAAGAGAGAGGAGGGGGGAGAGAGAGAGAATATTTTTTAATATTTATTTTTCAGTTTTCGGTAGACACAACATCTTTATTTTATTTTATGTGGTGCTGAGGATSGAACCCAGCGCCCCGTGCATGCCAGGCGAGCGCGTTACCTCTGGAGCCACATCCCCAGCCCTATAATTCTTATTACACATACAGAGCACAATTTTTCATATCTCTGGTTGTATACAAAGTATATTCACACCAATTCATGTGTTTATACATGTACTTGGGATAATGATGTCCATCACATTCCACCATCATTTCTAACCTCATGCCCCTTCCCTTCCCCTCCCACCCCTTTGCCCTATTTAGAGTTCGTCTATCCCTCCCACGCTCSCCCTTCCTATTCCACTATGAATAAGCCTCCTTATATCAGAGAAAACATTTGATTTTTGGGGGATTGGCTAACTTCACTTTAGCATTATGTTCTCCAACTCCATCCATTTACCTGCAAATGCCATGATTTTATTCTCTTTTATTGCCGAGTAAAATTCCATTGTGTATATATGCCACATTTTTTTAATCCATTCATCTATTGAAGGGCATCTAGGTTGGCTCCACAGTTTAGCTCTTGTGAATTGTGCTGCTATAAACATTCATGTGGCTGTGTCCCTGTAGTATGCTTTTTGTGCTGCTACAACAAAATACCACAGACTGGGTAATTTGCATATAATAGTTGACCGGGCTTAAGGTAGTGAAGGCTGGCAAGTCCAGGCGCTCCGCACCAGTATTGGCCAAGGCTTCTGTGCTGTGTCATAACATGGGCGGGGGGCAAGTGGGCAAGACAGAAGGAGGGTCCAAGCTYCAGATAAATGCACTCTCAAGATGTCCAACCCACTCCCGTAATGATGGCATTAATCCATGAATGAGGGCTGAGCCCTCCTGACCTTTAAAGACCTTACCTCCTTTTTTTTGTACCAGAGATTTGATTGAACCCAGGGACACTCAACCACTGAGCCACATACCCAGACCTTTATATTTTTTCTTTCTTTTTTTTTTTCCAAACATTTTCTCAGTTGTTGACAGACCTTTACTTTCCTCATTTTTATGTGGCGCTGAGACTCAACTCTTAGCTGTCAGCCAAAATAAGTGGAGCATCAAATGTGCCTCACACATGTTGGGCAAGCATGCTTCCACTCAGCCCCAGCCCCAGCCCCTTGTATTTTTTATTTTGAGACAGGGTTTCACTAAGTTGCTGAGACTGGCTTTGAACTTGGAATACTCCTGCCTCGGCCTCCTGAGCCACTGGGATTACAGGTGTGCCCTACCACGCCTGGCAAGGCCCTACCTCTTAATACTCCACAGTGGCAACTAAATTTCAACATGGGTTTTGGAGGCGACATTCAGACCATAGTACTCRTTGCTACAACCTTATGATAGAGCTTTTACCATTGTTTTTCCCAGTGGCAGAAACTGGGATCATAGAGGTACATGTCCTTCAGCTAGTGACAGATGGTGGAGCCAAGATGTGAACCTCAGTTGTGTGGTTTCAGAGCCAGGCTGTCAAACCCTATGCTCCACTGCTTTTCTGTCATTTAGAGCATTAAGAGCACATGATTTGGAAATGGAGAGATCAGGTTTAGTCCCACCTGTTGTTAGCTTTTGTTATCACTGTTACCCAGAATACTAATGAGTTAGGTAAAAATACTACATTTGTGTGGGCCCCAAAATCTTTGTTTTGAGGATGTTTAATATTATGTGTCAAGTTTTTGGAATTAGATTTAGTAGTTCTAATAGTTCCAAGTCATATTTTCTAATATTGTTAGTTATTTTTAAACACATGATAAAAGTATAAAATATATAATTCTGAGTCTTATTCAGCACAAAGTATATCAAATAGAAAGGAGTTTGTGTTCCATCTTTAAGCTGAAGTACTTTTATTTCAACTCTTTGGAAGTCTTGTACAAGTATAATTAAACAGATAATCATATAGCAATTTGGGTTAGACCAAGTGTGTATTTTTCTGCTCTTATGGTTTCTCTAAAATTTGAGCCTAGAAACTTTGGCACATAGATTTTTAAGCTCTGGAGCCCTCTTTGTGATTCATTGTTGGTCAGATCATCTCCATAAGGAGAGTAAACAGACTGGCTTGCTTTCCTAACCAGACCTCCTCAGAGAGTAAACCATTTCATAGACTCTGTATTTGCTCTGACATCATGTTTTCTTTCATATTTCAACTAGTGAGACGTGTCCCTGGAGCTTCTGAGTATCCTGTCAAAGACCTGAGTACTCCTCCAAATTCTTCAGGAAGTGGAGGAAATGCTGGGCCTGCAACCAGCCCTGCCAGAAGCAGTGATATGTTATACCTCATTGTTGGCTGTGTGCTTGGTGTCATGGTCCTCATTCTTATGGTTTTCATTGCGATGTGCCTGTGGAAGAGTCGCCAACAGAATGCCATACAGAGTAAGTCATTTATAAGTATTTCCTTCTGTTTTTTCTAAAGATGGGTAGAAAAAATATTATCAGAGTAAATATTGATTCCTACCACTTTTGTCTGTTGGTGTGGTATGAAACCTGTTTAGAGCCTCTTCGTTTGGAAGAGGTAACTTATCTTAGCTGTCAGCCAAAATAAGTGGAGCATCAAATTAAATTGCCCAGTAGAAATAAACATCAAGGACCAAACTAAGCAGGTCTCTAAGTAAATAGCTGACTTGGTACTGGGAAACTCTGGCTTTGTTGGACCACCAAAGAGAATGAGTACTGTAGGCTTGTGCTCTGGAATTTGTGTYGGAAGACCTTCATGGTGGTGTGGATCAGGTCAGTAGGATAGAAATGGCCTGATGGGGAAAGCAAYGTAGTAGAGACTTTTCTAAATTACCGTCACTGAATGATGCTTACCAGGGGACATAACATGGTCCTGTCTGTGCCTGATATACCCAAATTGTCTGGCATCCTCCCCCCAGGAGTGTGTCTGGTAATAACTGTGCTTGCAGATTGAGCAGTGGTACTGTTCTCATTAATAACCTACTTTCCTATCTACCAGAAAAAACAGGATAATCAACCAAGAGGAAATCTTCAGACTTTGATGGGAGGAAGATTTTTGTTTTCCCCTTTGGCTTTAGAATAAGGAATGAAAGAAAAGTCAAAAGGCAATAACAGTGGTAGGCACTTCTATTGGCCCTTACCCAGGTTGCTCATATAGCCACCTTTTAGTTACTAGCTCAAGAAAAAGAAAAGATCTCTTTTAATTGAATGGTGCCTTCCCAGAGGTAGGCAGGGGGAGAGGTGGCAGTGTCAGCAYGAAAGGATTGTGATCATTTAGTCTTTTTTCTAAATGACTTTAATGCCATTACATTTAATTGTGTATATGTTCAATCATTAAGAGAAAAGTAATTAACTTGGTTTTCTGAACAAGATTAATCTGATTAAACTCGTTTTCCTTTGTGACCTTATACTAAAAATGAAAGATTATCATGACAGTTATTCAGTCATCTCATTCCACCAGAAGATACTCATTGACTGTCTTCTATGTGCCGAGAGCTATGCTGGAGAGTAGTGGAGTTATAAATAACATAAACATGGTCTTTGCCCTCTCAAAGGTCATGGGCTAGTGGAGAAGATGTTCAGTAGGCGTACTGACAATACACACCTGTGCAAGAAAGCACAGGAAGAGGAGTGCCAGTCTCCACATCTCTAATACCTTTGATGAATTTGTCAAAACCTTGACAGCAAACACTGTACAGTTCAGATACTTTACTGTCTAAGGAATATTTACCTTTTCTAAACTTACTGATAGGCATGCCTCTATAAATAAGAATTTTTAAAATACTGTTAATCTAAGGAAGTCAAATAGCCTTCTGCCTTTGGTACCCCACAACTTCCAAATGACTTACAATGACCCAGAAGTTATATGAACAGTTGGTGAATGCATACACACCACCACCCTTTTACTTCAAAGTGCTGTTTATTGCTACTTGAAATGTCCTACCTAAAATTAGTCTTTGCTAAGGTAGTTGTTGCTGTTTTACACAATCATTTTCAGCTCTTTGAAGTATCTGAGAATTTAAGCACTTTTGCTTAGTGTTGCCAATACTTTGATAGTTTCAGCTCATTCTCTTGTGAGTGGTTTCTCTCTGGTTAATTTCTCTTCCCATTAACAGAGTCATGATTAACTCAAAGCTCCTAGCTACTTCCACACTGTAAAGAAAAATAACAGTAGTAACTTTAAATAGGCTTTATAGGAACATTTTTAGAATGTTTTACTTTATAGTCATTTTGTAGTTTCTTAGGGGTTTCACTAATAAAACTTCCTAAGCAATATTGTTCTTTTTAGTATCTGATTCTTTTTTTGTTGTTGTTCTTTTTTGACAGAATACGACCCACCAGGATATCTCTACCAAGGGTCAGATATTAATGGGCAGATGGTGGAATTTACCACTGTCTCTGGAACAAACCGAATAAATGGAAATGTCCATGGTGGCTTCCTGAGCAATGGCAGCCTCAGCAATGGCTGCTCTCACCTCCACCATAAGGTTCCTAACGGAGTCAATGGAATTATGAATGGGAGCCTAAATGGGGGAATTTACTCTGGGCACACGAACTCTCTAACCAGGACACGGATGGAGTTTGAACATCCTCGTCATCTACTGAATGTAAGAGACTTAATTATAAATAATAGCCTCTCTGTGTCTCAGGATATCAAAGTACAAGAATGGGTGCTTGGCTTTTTTTGATTTAAGGAACCTCATAGGGTCACATGAATGGAAATAGTATATTTCACTAGCAGGCCTTTGATCCAGAGTAATCTTTGTCAGTTTTCTACCATCAGGTGATATATTTGTCAGTTGGTTTCTATTTTTAAATTGTTTAATTCTCCAAGTTCAATACCAGTAAGGAACAGATGGGAAGTTGTTCTTGAGATGAAACGGAAATACCACTGGGCATAGACCAAACCAGATACTTTATATTTGATTTATTTAAAGCAGCCTGAAAACTCAAATACTGAGAGCTCTGGCAGATGGGAAACTTCAGCAAGTTGGGAATGAGATGGTTGTGGAGGAGATAGTAGCAAACTAGAGTAGACACTGAATTAAAGAAGCAACTTCAGTTGAGCGCCTGTTGTCACATAGGGCAGAGGACCCAGTTTGTTAGTTTTTCTGTTTCTTTAAAACATCTATAAATCTAGTTGAAATGATGAGATGTGTATATGTTGGAAACTAATTCCGATTTTTCTTCTTTTTTCTTTGTGGTGCTAGGGATCGAACTCAGGGCCTTGAGCATGCTAGGCAAACACTCTACCACTGAGCTACACCCCTAGCCCTAGATTTTGTAAAGCATTGTGCAGACCATGCAAAACACGTCTCCAGGCCACAAGATTGTGACTTCTGACCTATCATGAGTTTCTTTTGTTTCACTTAGTGTGTTTTGTTGTTCTGACGTGTAAGCTTTGGAATTTTAGAATATTAGTATCCTTTAGTCACAAAGAAGTTTAAAATTTCCTTATTTCAGAGATTGCCTGACATAGCTTAATTTTTGAAATAGGAATAGAATAAGTAGCATATTTTAGATTTATGCCTGTAAAGGGGATTCTCTGTACTAGAGAAATATTCTTTATTTCTTTGTCTAGATAGGCATCCACATTATTTTAATCAAACAGATAACTTATTTAGTTGATCAAATTAAGTGTTCATTTCATTTTTTTCATTGTTCTGATTAAARATAAGTTTGCCATAATCCATGATGGACTATAATTTGAACAAATTTAAGAGTTTTTTGTTTTTAATGAATTTATAAGATATTACCTTTGCAGAACAAATCTATAATATATATGTGTCTTAAAGCTAGAAACCTGTGGCTTTTATGTTACCCCGCTTTTGCATGTTGTAGAAAAAAATATCCTATTTACTTTAGTGCATCTCATTACTAAAGAGAATATGATTTCATTATTTTCTGGGGAAAGACATGGCTTATATTCAGACTAGCTAAACTTTTTTTGTCACCATTCCTAGTCTAAACTACTAATATTGTCCAAGAAATCTGGAGGAGAGAGCATTACAGTTTGAATAACACATGCTGTTTCTATGAAAAGGAAAAATAAGGCTGATATTTGTTTTAGTGTTTGAACAGGGGGCTTTGGGTTTTCTGAACAATGACTTGCTATTTAAATAATAGCTGCCCCATTGGGTTACAATTTTAGAAGTTATCAACTATAATTTTAACCCATTAGTTGTCTTATTCTTCTGGGCAGGAAGAAATAAGGACTTTTTTTTAAATGCCAGGGATCATAAAAATCATTGAATTAACTTTACCATGTTTAGTGATTTGGATAAATGTATTATCCTGAAGGTTATAAACTTCATTTTCTGAACCTTTTGAGTTTGCCCTCAGACTGAAGATAGTGCAGGAATATTCTTTTCCTCAGTATTTTCTTAGTAATTCCTGTTGCTTGTTGGATCAGGATTGCTGAAAGAAATTTTCAGTCTTTTGGTTTGCTTAGATTCTGGCTGTTGTTATGAGATGAATGGAAATGGAAAGTATTCTAGGAAAAACAATTGCCTGAACTTTTCTTAACCTTGAAGGCCTGTGTTGGGTTTGGGTGCAGTGTGACAGCCTCTCCCACCCTTATCAATTTCAGTTCTGCTGTTTTTCATCAGAAAGTAGAATTCTGACTTTGACTCTAAGAGGCCAGTTTGAGTTTTCAAACTTCACGTTTGCCATTGTGCATGTCAAGTGAACATTGTACAATGASGTATGTGTTAATCTGGGCATTTTTCTTAATTGCTGGGCAGTTTCCGCCAAAAGCAACATCAAAATATTAATACTCCCCTCCAGGTCATTGCTGGCTGAGAATCTACTCCATCTGAAAAAAATATGACATGTTTTAAAACATATAGTCAAGTGAATAGGCCTAATCGAAATAATTACAGGAAAATGAAGATGGGTTGTCTTGTGACATCATTCAAACACACTTCGCACCCTGTTTCTTCAACTGGCATCTCATATAATTTTTCCATGACTGCTAGAAAAGGAAAAATGAATAAGAGGTTATGATGTGTAGTGTATTTTGGGCCCATTAGATTTGAGACACTAAAAGGAAGTGACTAACTTTCTCCCTTCACTTATTTGCCTTTTTCCAGTACAGAAATATATGGAAAAACACAGCAGTTACGTTTTTGGAGTCCAGTTTAATATTGTGCAGATCTCATTTGAGAATAATAAATAACAAGCATAACATCATTTAGCAAGTACATTAAAAATATCATGTATCCATTTATGATTGACATGGCTTTTGTGTTTGTGAGTATTTGGCTACTAGTCTGTGGCACCTTCAGCATTTTCTTCTTTTCTTTTTCCTTGAACTTCCTTCCTGACAAGGGTGGTGGAATGTACACAGCAGTCCCCCAGGTTGACCCTCTGGAGTGCATTAACTGTCGGAATTGTCGAAACAACAATAGGTATGTTAATATGTATTTGCACAAATTGTTGTAAGTAAGGGATATGTGTTCTTTCTTTATTTTTTTCCTTCAGCAAAGGAAATTCTTGAAATTTAAYATAAGGTAGAAAACTCAGAATTTGCCATCTCAAGTTTAAGGCTGCTGTTAAGTTTTTGCCCTGTTTTATAATTTTTAATCTTTCTGTGCCTCAGTTTCTCTAGACATATATTAATAATATTAAAGCCTTTGTTTCTAGTGGTAATATTATTAAAATGTTTGATGTTTTTGAAAAATTTTAATTGGAGTCATTCTCTGCCTTTAGTGTTTATTGTTTCTTGTTACTTTCCACTCTGTAGTATGGGATGTTATGAGGGTAAATGAGAGCATGTTTGAGTGTAATAGAGGGAAAAAACACCTTGTATATATAGTAATTTTTTCCATAGTAATATTACTAAAAAATTTCCTACTGAATGATTCAACATTTTTTAAAATCCTCAAATCCTTATATAATTAAATAGCAAAATCTTGTTTTGTTTTTTTTTTCATTTAAAAAGTGATGTATATTCATAATATTTCAAACAAGATAAAATTGCACAGAGTAAAATGTGTATTTAAATTTTGATAAGTAGACTATCAGAAAGAGTTCATGCTACTTCTCCATATGTTAATTCCAAAGGAACATCAAAGTTCTTGTATTAACATTACATTAGAAATTTTAATCCTTATGTTTACATAATGATGGTTTGGGTTGTATGGCCTCTAAAGTCCTTCTTGCTTTTAAAATTCTGCATTTAAAAAAATTGTACTTAGTACATAAAATAACAAATATGATTTGGAGTTTGGATATTCCATTATCTAAAAAATATTTGATATGCATTTTTTTTTACATGTATGAAAAAGTCAAGTTCTCACTGGAAAGTGTTGAAACTAGAACTTGAATGATCTGGTCGACCGTAGAATTAGAAGTACATTGTTTTAGCCTGTGTTTTGAGAGTCACAGAACAAAAGCAGTAAATCTTGGGGACTTTTTGTTATCATTTATTTAACTCATCTTAGGGTTTCTCTATTAGTAAGAGCCATCTGCCTATTTTATATACCAAGAGTTACATGTTACATATTTAAATTCTTTATTCTCCTCATTTTGAAAATGTTCATACACTGAAGCTGTATTATTCTGAGCTTATCAGAGTCTTTACCACAATTTGTTAGGAAAACATGCTAACAAACTGGCGAAGCTGGTTTATACACCAGATGGTAAGTAGTCAGATGGATTCATCATAACAAATGGTTTTGTGAAAATATATACTGTGTTGTCCTTTGTGGTTCTTGTGGCCATCATCAGATCTTGACTCTCCCTACACATTAGAATAGCTAACAGGAGGACCTTTGGTCTWAGAATGAGTGGACTGGGTTTTACTCTTACTTAAACTTGTGATCTTGGGGAAAGTTATGTCTCTGGGGCTGTTTTCTTTTCAAGAAAACAAAAGCTTGTCCTGAGTAATAAAAGATTGTCCCCAATATAATCCAATTGTAGACTTTGGTAAAACCATATCTTGATGATGAGGTATCATATCATATGATGAGGTATCATCTTAGCACCAAAAACACTCCATTTCCCATTTCCTTAAAAGGATTTAAGTGACCTCTGCCATCTTGAATTCATGATCATTTGTATGTGGAGAGAGAGAGTGAGTGTGTGTGTGTGTGTGTGTGTGTGTGTGTAGAATCTGAAAGTTTTATTATGCATGGGTATTTCCTTTAAGACAATGAGGAATTGTATTTCTAGTAATTTTCAAGTTAATGACTTCCTGCATTTCATGTTTGTGAATTTTACTACTGTCTGGGAACTTATGTAAATTCTCTTCAGCTTGGAAAAAACAGCTTCTGTTTCTCTGTGGTTTAAATATTCTTCTTGCACAAGCACCTGTAGTTGAAGGCAAGTCTTTATTTGTCTGTGTTGCCTCCAAGGCTAGCCAAATGTCTTCCCTGRCTCCCAGGAGCTACTATATGATTTTGACACTTAATAATTGGACAGTAGATAAATATCAATAAGAAACTAACTTTAGGGGCTGGGATGTGGCTCAGTGGCAAAGCGTCTATCTTGCATTTGCAAAGCCCTGGGTTCGACCCCCACTTCCAAAAAGGAAAAGAAAAGAAACTAACTTTAACTGTGGAAATTGAAATCATTACATTTCATGCTTCTAACTTTTACAACTTTGAAGTTGAAAACAGGTATCACCTTTCAAGATCCAACAAAATGGCAAAATTTGTAATAAATTTTGAAGGTAGAGAAGTGTATGATATATGATTTGCTCTTAAAATGTGCAAAATTGTACTTAATATATCTTTTTTAGAATATCAATGTTATTCACTAATAAGTTTGCATTTTATAATGCAGACTGAAATAGTGTGTACGTAAGAAGAGGCATTATTTCAGTAAGAATACATGGCACWGTAGAATTTTTGGCTACTTAGTCAGAAAATACTGAGCACTATTCAAGCACTGGACTAGGTTCTGAACTGTTTCTATGTAGAAGGAATTTGCAAAGAAGCCATGGAAGTGGGAAGGATACTGCTCACCTAAGAATAAATAGGTTACATGCTGTACATTAGAACCTCTTGAAGCACTGCTAAATATACAAATTGCTAGGCTCTACTTCTAGAGTTTCTGGTTCAGCAAACCTTAAGTAGGGCCTGAGAATTTGTATTTTTAATGAGTTTCCAAGGAATACTGATGCTGGTGGTCCTGGCACCATGCTTTGAGAGCCACTAGAATAGTGTTACTGGCTGATGAAATGCAAGTAGAAAGTAAGTGGCAGGATATAAACAGGAAAATTGGACTGAGTTTATATCACAGGTGATCCTGAATGTCAGGGTTTTGTAGTCTAAACATTTATTGAGTGCCTATCATGAACTTGGTACTACCTTTGGAGACCCACAGTCTGATAGTAGTGATTCTCAGGCAGAGCTAGGAATATAGTGAATAGTAGAGTTTGAAAAAAAAAAAAATGGTTGAATTTTATATTTATGGAATAGAAAAAAWTATTTTTTTATAAATTAAAAAGTACAAAAGGGTATGAGACTTTCACATTAACTGAAAGGAGATATGGGATAAATGTTGAGAAACACTGAGCTAGTAGCGTCCTAATTCATGTGAAACTTTCTGAGAAAAGGTATGATCTGTTGAGAGTGTTTAGGCCTGATGTTTGGTGATAGGGCACAGGTTGGAGGGATGGGATCARTTAGCTGTCACTTTAAGGAAGACCTGGCCTCCATACAAGAAATGGGGACGACAGGATGAGTGATATGGCGCAGTTGTAATCTTTAAGACTTGGCCATTGTCTGACTTTGTATAAGAGAGATTCTACAAAAAAACCCAAAGATCCAAATACATAGTTTTCAAATGTGAATGACTTGATTAGTTATTGCCTGGGTGGTAGTCCTAAAAATAAAAAAAACAAATAAAGTGAGAAAACATTGACTTTATCATCTTAACCGTAGGAGAGATGTGAAAAGTTGAGAATCAGAAAGAGGAGAAGATGCCTGGTTACAGTCTGTGGAGATTTTCTTTGATTTGGGGGCTCTTGTGGCATTTTATAAATGACTGCTTTCCTCACTGTTTCCTGAACTTGAATCCCTTTCAGGTTTTAAGAGTAATATAATATGTAGCAGTGTGTACTAGCTCACTATGAACACAGCTAGAAAGAGGCATACTCAGTACAGCTTTGCAGGGAGCCAGTCCCCTACACCAAAGACTTAATGGAGAAATCTTTTGTATTTTTCTGGGCACTTCAAGAGTTAAACAGATTTGAATCAAGAAAATAAAAAAGTTTTCTACCTTTCTCCTCTCCTCAATTCAAAAGGCAGTAACACAGTTCTGGATATGTAATCAAATGTGGTTGTCAGTTGCTTGGCTAGTTGAATGGGAAGGAATTAACATTAAATCAGGCCTATTTGCCATCAGTCTTGATAATTTGTAAGAGAGAGTAGAGAGGACACTGATGAAATTTACAGATGAACCAACTGAGAGGTCCCATCAGGAAAGAACGAGAAATTAACTTTAAGCATCCTAGAGAGACTGGAAATGGGCAGGAAGTAGCCAAGCAAATATCAGCCTGGAAAAATGTGTATAATTCATCTGGGGGGAAAAAAAAACAGTGCAAGCTACATGGCTGMTAGTCAAATAAAGAAAACAATTGGGAAAAATGCTTTAGAAAACACAGATATTACAAATGGTCTCCAAGAGTTTGCATAATGATGATCTTTAAAGGTCTGTGTATGTTTCTTGGATTTTGGAGCACTCTTTCACTCATATATGTCAGATATACTCAGGTGAAATTAGGATGTAGAGAACATTTAATCACAGTAGGATTTCTTTCAGGCCAAGGGTTTCATCTGCCTAGTTGGTTTGTTATTGTCTAGTGTACCTAAACTCTTTTTTCTAGCAATTAATTTTGTTATAACTTGGGCGCTTTCCTATTTCCAACCACTCAGCTACTCAGAGCTAGCTCTAAGGCCAAAGGAGGAAGATACACAAAGCCCAAGATTGAGCTTCCCTTCATCTGTAATAATCTATCTACTTCTTCAGGGGAAAAAAATCATAGCTCTGTTCTAGTTTTTAAAGGGCCTTCCTTTTGAGGAGGTTATATCTCTCCCCAATCTATATCCATTTCTAATATAGAGACTAAGGTCCTGTTGTCTTGGGGTAGACAACAGATCTTTCAAGATCTTTCACTTGTTAGCTGTGTATGTGTGTGTGTCAACTTGCCATGTTCAGTAATATACTTAGTTGTTTTTGTCACCCAGCATTTATTGTGGTTGTCGCTGATAAATTAATCCCCAAAAGGAAAGTCCCACTCTAGCTGGAGTCATTGCAGCATCCAGTGGAGTGACAATGAGAATGGAGGGCAGCCATGTCCCTGGAGAAATGTCATCTGGGTTCTGTTGCGTAGAAACTGATTTCTCCCAAGAATAAAGGCTAGGTTGGCAAAATGACAAAGACCCCATGGCAAGAGGAAACA